GCCACGACCGGCATGAGGGCGGGGCCTGGGTCGGGGCAGGTCCGGGACAGGGCCGGGACGGGGCCGAGGAAGGGCCGGGGCGGGCCGCGAAGGGGCCTAACGGGCCGCGAAGGGGCCGCGACAAGCCGCGACGGGGCCTAACGGGCCGAGAAAGGGGCCGGGGAAGGGCCTGGGCGGGCCGCGAAGGGGCCTAACGGGCCGCGAAGGGGCCGCGACAAGCCGCGACGGGGCCTAACGGGCCGAGAAAGGGTCGGGGCAGGGCCGGGGTCGGGGCAGGTCCGGGACAGGGCCGGGACGGGGCCGAGGAAGGGCCGGGGCGGGCCGCGAAGGGGCCTAACGGGCCGCGAACGGGGCCTGACGGGGCCTTACGGGGCCTGACGGGGCCGAACGGGGCCGCAAACAGGGCCTGACGGGGCCGCAAACGGGGCCTGACGGGGCCGCGAAGGGCCTCACTAGGGGCCGCGAAGGGGCCTTACGAGGGGGCCGCGAAAGGGGCCTTACGAGGGGGCCGCGAAGGGGCCTAACGAGGGGCCGCAAAGGGGGCCGTACGAGGGGCCGCGAAGGGGCCTTACGAGGGGCCTTACGAGGGGCCTCGAAGGGGCCTAACGAGGGGCCGCGAAGGGGGCCGTACGAGGGGCCGCGAAGGGGCCTTACGAGGGGCCTTACGAGGGGCCGCGAAGGGGCCTAACGAGGGGCCGCGAAGGGCCTTACGAGGGGCCGCGAAGGGGCCTAACGAGGGGCCACGAAGGGCCTTACGAGGGGCCGCGAAGGGCCGTTAAGGGCAGGCGCGACGCGCGCCTAGGGTAGGAAAAATTTCAGTGGTAAACGTGGTGGGCCCTTAGGAAGGATCGAAATTGCTCTATACCATGTGAGAATCGAGAAGAAATGAGTGAGGATGATTGCACTAGAAAGCATTGGGATACATATAGCAAACCCTAACAGGGTTGTACTCACTACAGAGTACCCCACTGCAGACTAGAGAAACATAATATTCTGACACAGCTGTAAGTCATCGGGCCACGTATCGAACTGGATCGGACGGCCCTCATGATCGAAGGTGAGAACACTGAGAGAAGCCATAGCGGGCAGAGCAGGGTGGCGCGTGACCAGCAGGGCAGCACGCAGGCAAGGACGGCGCAACGGGCAGGGCGGCGCGCCAGCACTAGGGAAGCGCGCAGGGCAGGGCGGGGCGGCGCACGGCTAGGGAAGAGCGGCGCGCGGCCAAGGCAGGGCGGCGCAACTGGCAGGGCAGGGCGGCGCGCGGGCAGGGCAGGACGGCGCGCGAGCATGGCAAGGCAGCGCGGCGGCCAGCAGGGCGGCGCGCTGGCAGGGCAGGGCGGCGCGGCGGCCAGCAGGGCGGCGCGCGGGCAGGGCAGGGCGGCGCGCGGGCAGGGCAGGGCGGCGCGCGGGCAGGGCAGGGCGACGCGTGGGCAGGGCAGGGCGGTGCGCTACCAACAGGGCGGCGCGACGGGCAGGGCAGGGCAGCGCGCAGCCAGCAGGGCGGCGCGACGGGCAGGGCAGGGCATCGCGACTAGTGGGGCAGCGCTACGGGCAGGGAACTATGCGGTGGGCCCTAAAAAAAAAACGGTCTTGGAACAGGACCTGCTCTAAAACCATGTCAAGTAACTGAACGAGAATGGATGAACTAAGATCAAAGTGGGTACAAGTTCTAACCCTAATTGGGTTATACCCCTTGTGGGCTACCTTACTACAGCCTACACCATATAAGCATCATAACATTTTGACAGAGGTTCGCCGTCCGAGTCGTCTGTGACGTCGCGGGTCAACCCAAGAGCCTGAGCACGGCGCTGTGCGTCCGCTGCCTCGTAGGCCGACATGTGGCGTGTGGCTTTTCCTCTGTCCGTGAACGTGCGATTGTTGGAAACAAGTAATTTAAACGCTTCTGTCGTATCGAAGCGTCGACACGAAACGGAGCTGACTACAGCGAAGAAACACTCGAGTCAACCAAAGCAACCGTCGGAGGTTACGCGAAGGTCAAAGGTCTCCGACCTTTGACTTGACGAAACGTACAGTGCAACAGCAAGGACACATAACTGACTCGTTACTGAGCAGTTACCCGAGTCGGCACTATATCGAACCGCAACAGCAAAAACAGTTAAAGTAGAACCTTTCATATTCCTTTGTAATCATATAAAAGGCTTGTATCTCTTAGTTATTATTATCTTATCTTGTTCTCACACACCAGTACAAGGTGGTTCAAGCAACCTTTATTAAACGCTTCCGCAATTACAACATCTCTACGTCAACACCTGATCTTAGTCCTGAAAGATCCTAAGGGCTTTTCTCAGCCCAACATGGTATGAGAGCAGGCAGGGCAAGATCACTTTCATAAATTTCGACAACAACGCAAGACATGGCTACACAAAAGGAGAGGAGCTCCTCCAACGGATCTCTCGGCACTACCCCTACTCCACCTCCAGTCTCTGGCCTACAGACAAAAGAAGGCACAACAACAAGACCAGCTGCAGAGTCAACGGAAACTCCCGGGAATCAACAAGCAGGCTTCGACCCAAACATGATGGAGAAGTTTTTCTCCTTCATGTCCTTCTACGAGCAACACCAGCAAGCAGCTCCTGCGCAATCAAACAACAGCGACAAGAGAGCAACACCGATGAGCCTCGACTGTTCATCCTACGCGCGTGGAAATCAACAGCAACCCACCTTTGCCCCGTACGAGCCTCAACGCGGCTCCATCAGTTTCGCACCGCAGCCGCAGTCTTCACCTGGACAAGAAAAGACACTGGACGCGCTTCAGGTGCAATCTCAATTCGCACACGTCCTAAAACTGCAAACGTCAACGCTTTTCGACGGAAAGGACTTTTATACCTGGTCATTTGAATTTGAGCTGATGATGGAGGGCGCGCAAATTCTCGGATTCTTCGACGGGTCCCTGCCATATCCAGCACACGGGACACAGTACGACAAGCAACAATACACGTATCAGACGCTGATGGCGTATACGATACTTCTTCGAAACTTGACGCCAAACGAGCAACAGAACATCCGGTCTTATCGAGGATACGGCAACTCCGCCGAGCTGGCGTACGACCATCTGAAGAGCCTGTATCAAGCAACAGACAGCGTTAACCAGATTCGTCTCATGGCACAGCTGAGAACAGTGGAAATGAAACCTGGCGAAAAGGGAATGGCTTATATTAGCCGTTGTCACGGACTGCGCGACAGAATCCTTCGATGCGGAGGATCAATATCCGAAGAAGCTTTTGTAACAGTCATCATCGCCGGTCTTGGTCCTCATTGGCGCTCCACTCGAGCACTCCTTCGAGCTCACGGGAAAATCTCCAAAGCAGCACTCTGCGCCAAAATTCACGCTGAACAGCAAGATATGGACCTGCACGAAGAACGACACAAGAAGAAAGCGTTAGCACCGGAATTCGCCTTTCATACTCAACGACGCTACAACAACAACAACAACCGACAAGTACAACAGTATGTCCCACCGTTTTGTCATCTTTGCAAGACGTCCGGTCATCCGCGGACACACTGCCCGAATCAACAGCAGTCGATGACACCGCAACGTCAACTTCAGCCTTCAAGCAGTCAAGTAGCCTCTACGCAGGCGCATCCCACCAGTCAAGTGCAGCATTCAACATCTTCAAAATCGCAATCTCCACAAGGAACAAGAAACATCGTAAGCTGCATGACAAGAACGATGGACTCCTACATCACCGGATCACCACCCCACTACTCACCAAAAGACCAACTCGATGAAAGGACTCCTCGCCGCGAATCACTGGAGCCCAATCCGACATATGCAGCTATCGCCCAAAGCGAGCCGTCCGGGCAAGACACTTGGTTCTTGGACAGTTGCTGCGGACAACATATGTGCTCTCCAAGTCGTTTCGTTCAACAAGAACACCAACTTCAGCGCGAAGTCGTCATCACCGTGGCCAACAACCAGAACCTGCACACACGACGACAAGGAGTAGTACAACTTCAGTCTCGAGAAACCAACGTCATCCTACAAATGTCTGAAGTCCTGATTGCAGAAGGACTCGGCTACAACTTACTGAGCGTCAGCCAACTGATGGCGAAGGGTATTCACCTTGAAGCAGACAGCACCACTCAGGAGTTCAAGTTATTCCACGGTAAAGGAGGACTCTACATCGGCAGAGCAATCCTGAAGAACAATGTCTTCGTTCTTGATTTTGTACCAGATCAAGGAACCGCCGACAGTGACGCCATCGTCAACTTCGCTTCTTTGGCGCATCCACCGGACCTCGATCCCGACTTCAGCCCTGGAGGGTTCTGGTATTCACATACCATACCTGAAGCAGAAAGAACACGGGCATTAGCAACAATCCGGCAAGAAGAAACAACATCCACAACAGCAGAGACAACATCGGCAACAACAGCAACACTTACAGCACCAATCGCGAGCTCTTCGACGGGGGAGTTTCCCTGTGCTCTCCACATGAGGCCCGGCGCACAGATCCCACCATTCGTCTCCTGTGGAGGAGGAGGAGGGAGTGAAGGGAAGAAAGGAGTGAAGGATGGGACAGGAGACTGGAGAAGCTGGGAAAAATACAGTAACATGACTTGTTAAGGAGAACAAAAAAAAAAAAAAAAAAAAAAAACAAGAACAGGAACAAACAACAGCCGTACGATGTGCGGGCGGGAGGAGGAGGACGAAGAATAAACAATAGCAAACATATAAAACAAGTGTACCAATGTGGTAGATGGTGATAAGCTCCGTCTTGATGCTATCCAGCAGCTCCAGCTTGTACGGCTCGTTGATCTCCTTGATGCGGCCTCATGCCCTCCCTTTCATGTGCACAAGTCCCGCGCAACCCAAGGCTAAACACCCTAGCCTAGCATACCAATGTGGTAGATGGTGATGGGGCTCTGTCTTGATGCTATCCAGCAGCTCCAGCTTGTACGGCTCGTTGATCTCCTTGATGCGCCCACGTGCCCACCCCATTTCCCATGTTTGAGGCGCCTCAACAATACAACCTAGCACCTTAAATCCCTGACGTACCGATGTGGTAGATGGTGATGGGCTCCGTCTTGATGCTATCCAGCAGCTCCAGCTTGTACGACTCGTTGATCTCCTTGATTCGCCGCGCTGCCTCCTCCCTTGACACCTCCTCGCGGCGCAGAGGCAGGTTCTTGAAGATGATCTTGTCCTGTGAGGTGGGGAAGGGGGGGGGGGGAGACGGGGTGAGATTTGAAAAAAAAAAACAAAAAAAACACATTCGCCTGACACCGATGCGCTGCCTCCTCCCTTGACACCTCCTCGCGGCGCAGAGGCAGGTTCTTGAAGATGATCTTGTCCTGAGGGTGGGTGGGGGCGGCAGGGGGGAGGGGGATAAGAACGGAAAAACAAATATGCATTCACCTCAAATTCGAAGGAGGGCTGCCTTCTCCCGTGACACCTCCTCGCGGCGCAAGGGAAAGGCTCTTCAAGATGATCTTGTCCTGAGGGTGGGTGGGAGGAAGAAAAGAAGAAGAAGAAGAAAACAAACTCAAGGAAAGAGAGTAAGATGTTGTTTAAAACAAGTCAGTGTCGTGCAGACATAGAAAGGTTGACCTCAAATCAGTCGCACGCATCCTTTATTCTACTCATTCACACCCTCTACTCGTTGAAGTCACACCAGCTACTCGTTACAGCCACACACACGCACCATCTCCTTCTTGATCTTCTTGAGGTCCTTGTCAGTGAGCGGTTCGTCGAGGTCAAATTCGTAATAGAAGCCGTTCTGAATCCACGGCCCGATCGTCACCTGCGCCTTGGGGAAGAGGCGCTGCACTGCCATCGCCATCACGTGGGCGGACTGGGTTGGGGGAAACGAGGGAAGGGGGAAGAGGGAAGAGGGAAGGGGAAGGGGGAAAGGGGAAGGGATGAGTCGACTTCTGAATCCACGGCCCGATCGTCACCTGCGCCTTGGGGAAGAGGCGCTGCACTGCCATCGCCATCACGTGGGCGGACTGGGTTGGGGGAAACGAAGGAAGGGGGAAGAGGGAAGAGGGAAGGGGAAGGGGAAGGGGAAGGGGAGGGGGAAAGGGGAAGGGATGAGTCGACTTCTGAATCCACGGCCCGATCGTCACCTGCGCCTTGGGGAACAGACGCTGCACTGCCATCGCCATCACATGGGCGGACTGGGGGGGAGGGAGGGGAGAAGAGGGGGCCGGTGGGGAAGAGGGAACGGGGAGGGGGGAAGGGAGAAAGGGGAAGGGATGAGTCGAGTTTTGGATTGAATCCACGGCCCGATGGTCACCTGCGCCTTGGGGAACAGGCGCTGCAGCGCCATCGCCATCACATGGGCGGACTGGGAGGGTTTTGGGGTGAGGGGGGGTGGTTGGAGGAGCGGAGAAAGGGGGAAGAGTGTGGAAAGAGAGAAGGGAAGAGAGGCCTGCGCCCACTCGCCCCACTTGTCCCACGTCTAGCTCACCCCGCGAGCCATTCACCCCAAGCACCCTTCATCCCACGCGAAACTCGCCTAAAACGCCCCATTCTCCGTACGCGCCACTCACCGTGTGTCTGATCCGCAGCAGCTTCTCCGAGCTCTCATTGGTTGGAAGCGGCTCACGTGGCAGCTCCACCTCCACGTCATCCTCCCCCGCGCTCTCCCCCCCAGAACCATCAACTACGCCAGACGCTGCGCCATTCCCCCCCTTCCGCGCGCCCTTCTTTCCCCCCCTCGCTTTAACACCCCCCTCTGTAGTCACAGCGCCGCCAGCGGCGCCAGCGATAACGCTCTCCGCCTCTTCCGCAGCGACAGCTACTGCCGGCGCGCCATCGGAGCCATCCGCGGCTGCGGAGGCGACGGTGAGGCTCCCCGCCCGAGCTGCCCCGTACGGGGGAGACGCGGGAGAGGGGAAACGGCGCGAGGAGGCGGATAGAGCGGAAGGAGAGGCACGGGAGAGGAGCGGAAGCGGGTGCAGGGGGAGGCGGGTGGCGGATAAGGGAAGGACGGAGGCTGGAAGGGGGAGCCTGGTGGGAAGGGAATTAAGGGCAGACAGGGGATTAACAGGGGAGGGGAAGAAGAGGGGTTGGAGAAAGGCGAATTATTACCAGGAGTAGGTAGGTTGCGACACATGCATTGTCAAAGCACGGCAAAAAAAAAAAAAAAACAGTTTTAAGTGGGAAAGGAACCTCGGGAAGAGTTTTAAAGTACACTCCAGATGCACATAGCCTTCCCCGCTAAAATGCTGCGTCTCGCGTTCACTAACCGTCCAATAAGAGACGGTCGTCGAGCATTCGTCTAACTACCTCTCGTGAATCCGAGCGATGTGAATTCTACGGAGCGACTGAGGACTCCACAAGGGTGAGGCCTTGAACGGGCTATCACAGCGCAACGACGAAGTTCAACGTTACCTTTGCGTGAACCCTAAAAAGGAGGTAACCTGAATTGTAAGGTAATGTAAATTTATCTTGTTCCCGCATATACTGATATCTTCATACTATAGCCATACTGAGAAGAATGAAGAACGATGATGGATGAACTATGAATGAGGTGAGTACATATAGAAAACCCTAATTGGGTTGTACCCCCTATGGGATACCCCACTATAGCCTACACAACAGCATAAGCTATATAATGTTCTGACACACCCCCATAGGCAAAGTGGGGGAGAACAAGGGGTCACAAGACCAGTCAAGCAAAGCAGAGCAAGCTCAGGGTGGATCACAACGTCACCACACAGTCCGAGCACAACGACAAGGCCACAAGGCCAGTTCACATGCAGGAGTACACATATATATATAGAGCTAGACAAGCAAGAGCAGGTATATATATGTGACAGTACAAGTAAGGTCAAGAGGAGAGCAAGTGAGGCAAGACAGGTACAAGACCCAGCTGAGTGCAGAAGCGCTGATGGTCACAAGGCGCAAGTGCCTTGGTGAACACATCAGCAGTGTTGGCCTGAGAGGCCACGTACGCAAGTCGCAACTGACCACGCTGCTGCAGCTCACGAGCAAGAAAGTAACGGAGAGCAATGTGCTTCGTTCTGTGCTCCAAGCGCTGCTCTCGACACAAGGCCAGCATGGCCTTGTTGTCTACGTACAGCACTGGAGGAGAACGAGGCGGCTCTCCAAGGTCAGTCAGCAGGTAGGTGAGCCAGCGAAGCTCCTGTGCAGCCATGGCCCCGGCGTAGATCTCAGCCTCACAACTGGAGCCGAGAACAGAGGACGAGCGAGTAGCTCGCCACGAGACAGAGCCGGAACCAAAACTGAAGGTGTAACCCTGCGACGACCGCTGCGTAGCCTGGTCGTCAGCCCAAGAAGCGTCCGCGTGCCCAGTGAGGACCACTGGACTCCGCCCTCCAAGCACTAGTCCCATGCCCGACGTACTGCACAAGTATCGCAACACCCTCTTCGCTGCAGCCATGTGCTCTGGTCGGTGTCTCCCAGGAGCAACATAGCGTGCAAGAATGCTAAGAGGGTATGCAAGGTCAGGTCGTGTGCAGGTCATCAGGTACATGAGGCAGCCAACAAGCTCTGGATACGGGCCACTCGACTCTACGGACTCATCCGAAGGCAGAGCTGAGAGTGAGTGGCGAGTAGGCAGAGGAGTGGCCTGAGGCGAGGAGTACGTGAAGCCGAAGCGCTGAAGGACCTGCTGCACCATGTGTGACTGAGTCAGGGTAATGGTGCGGCGTGCTCTGTCCCGGGTGATCTGCAAGCCAAGGTAGCTGCGCAGTTCACCCAGGTCTGTGCACGTGTGTCTCTTCTGCAGCTCGGACTTCACGTGGGCGAGTCCAGTAGTGTCAGCTGTGGCAAAGACCAAGTCGTCGACGTACACGAGGATGTAGAACGGCGGCAGAGAGGTGTCGGTGCGTAGAAACAGCGACGGGTCGGCAGTAGAAGGAGCAAACCCAAGAGCCGCAAGCGTAGTCCTCAGTGTGTCGTGCCACTCACGTGGCGCCTGGCGGAGACCGTAGACTGGACGCCGGAGACTCCACTGGGTACCAGGAGGGAAAGACCCAGTGAAGCCAAGTGGGCGGCGCAGCCAGATCTCCTCGTGCAGGCTGCCCTACAAGAAAGCAGTGCTGAAGTCGAGAGAGTGCAGCTCGTAGTCACGGTGAGCAGCAACGTGTAGCAGCACCCGAAGAGTGGTCATCTTCGGGGTGGGGGAGAAGGTCTGAAAGTAGTCAACTCCCTGTCGCTGACTGAAGCCACGAGCCACGTAACGTGCCTTGAAGACAGGCGGAGAACCCGGCGGCCGCTTCACCCTGAAGATCCACATGCCACTGACGATGTTCGCCCCAAGAGGGGGGACAGCGTCAACGTAGGTGCCTGTGGACTTCCAGGAAGCCATCTCTGCATCCATAGCTGCCTGCCACTGAGAGGAGTAGGGACCCTCTATCGCCTCCGCGTAAGAGCGCGGAGTCGGGATGTCAAGTGCATCCGGGTCTCCCTCAGGGGTAAGCAGTACGGACACGAGATGAGGTGAAGCAGCTGCCAGACACTGGAACTCCTCCTGCCTGTCCTCAAGGACGTCCGTGCCAAGGGCACACTCACCCCCGACTGACGGAGGACAGGCAGACCCAGACTCAGCGACAAGACTAGCAGCGTAGTCTAGGCGACAGCGAGCAGCAAAGTCGACGAGCTCAGTAACTAGGGCAGACGCAGCAGTAGACTCGAAGGAAGGGTCAGTGACGACAGTAGCAAGGAGACGCGTGACAGTAGGACTGGCAGCACGAAGAGAGTCCGACGCAGGGTCGGGAAGAGCAGGAAGAGAGGACTCAGGAGGAGAAGGCAAAGGGGCACGCAGAGGAGCAGTAGACGGACGCAGAGACATCCTGTGCGTGCCAGGGACAGGAGGAGGACGCTGACGCGAACCACGACCACTAGCGCGAGCAGCACGGACAGGCGACGCAGGGCGAGACGCAGGCTCACGACGCTCAGTAAGACCTCCAGTAGGACCAGTGTAGGGAGAAGGAGCAGGCAAAGGGGAGGTAGGCTGTAGCAGTGACCGCGACGGGACAGGCTGTGGACCCTCCAAGAGAGGAGGAGGACCAGGAGAGGGCGGAAGACCAAGAACCTGCTGCAGGAGTGGAACGAAGTACGGTCGAGGCCGCGTAGCTACGCCAGAAACAGCAGGGACAGCACCAGTACCCCCAGCAGGAGCACCCGCTCCAGCAGCACCTCCAGTAGCTCCAGAACCTCGAGCAACACCAGGAGCACCCCCAGCAGGACCGCCAGTGGTAGTCTCAGCGACAACACCCTCAGCAGCACCAGCTCCAGTCGAACCCGCAGGCCCAGCAGCTCCAGTACTCCCAGTACGAGCACCTCCGGGACCCGCAACAGCAGCACCCTCAGTAGCCGACGAACCTCCAGCACCAGCAGCACGGCTCCAGCGCCGGGCAAACCACTCGCGCAGCTCCTGTGGAGAGAGTGGCTCCCGGCGAGACAAAGCACGCGTAGAAACTCGAGGCGGAGGACCTCCAGGCGCAGCACTCCCAGGTCCAGCACCCCCAGGCAAAGCACCCCCAGGCGTAGCACCCCCACACTCAGCACCCCCAGGCTCAGCACCCCCAGGCTCAGCACCCCCAGGCTCAGCACCCCCAGGCTCAGCACCCCCAGACTCAGCACCCCCAGACTCAGCACCCCCAGGCTCAGCACCCCCAGGCCCAGCACCCCCAGGCCCAGCACCCCCAGGCTCAGCACCCCCAGCAGCACCAGAGTCACCAGTGACCTCGACAGGCTCGACTGCGTCTACCTGGGACACACCTGAAGGGGCAGGACCCTGAGGGGGGAGGGGGTCTACCGGGGGGGGACCTGGTACAAGGAAGAGCGGGGGCGGGGGGGGGGGACGGAGTGCGGTAGGGGAAGAGGCGGTAGTAGGGTACCGACTCGTCGAACGTGACGTCCTGAGAGGACAGAACACGGCGAGAGGTGGGGTGGTAGAACTGCCACCCAGGCGCGTCTGGGGGGAACCCCAGGAAGACGCAAGGAGCAGCACGAGGGGTCAGTTTGTCCGCAGACAAGTCGCGGACAAACGCCCGAGATCCCCAGACCCGGAACGCCGACGCATCGCCCACCTTCCCGGTCCACAGCAAGGCTGGGGAGGTCTCCGGCCTGGAGACCCTGGGGTGAAGGTTGATCTGACGTGCCGCGTACCTCACCGCAAACGGCCACAGAAAATGGGGGGCAGCCGCATGCATCATAGACGTACGAGCGACGTCCATGACCATGCCAATGCGGCGCTCAGCAATCCCATTTTGCTGCGGAGAGTCCGGGAGCGTGAAGGTCTGACGGATGCCTCGTGCACGACAGTAGGCTCGCAGAAGGCCAGAGGAGAACTCTCCGCCTCTGTCCGAGTGCAGACGCAGAACAGGAAAGTCGGAGCCAAAGCTCTGCCTGAGCTGGAGACGAGCTGCGCGGATCCAGTCGATCAGCACCTCAGTGACATCACCCTTGCCGCGCAAGGGGAAGACTGCTGTGTAACGCGAGTAGTCGTCAACAACGAGCAGGAAGTAGCGCTCGTGACCCTGCCCACGGACGCGGGCTGGGCCCCACACGTCCATGTGGAGCGTCTGCAACGGGGCCTCTGTCGGAGGAAACTGGGAGGAGTGAGGGGCAGCACGCTGGCGCCCCTCGACACAGGGGACACAGGTAGGGCCAGGGCCCTGAGGAAGGGGAGGGAGGGACCGGGGGAGACCAGACACTAGAAGACGGGAGGCCATGCCTCTGAGTCGAAGCAGAGAGGGGTGACCAAGACGGTGGTGCCAGAGAAGAGTCTCGTGAGACAGGAGACGACAAGAACAGGGGGCAGACTCAGGACCAGACCTGGACGCAGCAGCAAACACCTGACCCGACGAAGCGACTCTACCAGACTCAGTAACGGGAGGAGACGCAGTGGTCAGTGTGTACAGGCTCGACCCCGGCTGACGGGTAAACGTAGCCAGGTGTCGGCCTGTGCGAGCCTCTGTACAGTGCGTCACCCGCTGACGCGCAGGAGTGAACTGGTGTACACCCGCATCCTGTAGGTCAGCACCACTCACCAGGTTCGTAGAGAACGAGGGGAGGTAGAGACCAGACAGGGTGCCAGAGGGAGCCGCCGGACACGGGAGGACTGTGGAGAAGCGAGACAGGACAG